TTTTCTATTTTCTTGTTTGATTTTTGGGCGAAGTCCCTAAAAAACAAAGGAGAAATTAACTTGAGTAATTTGACATTCCTTTCAAAATCATTTGATACATGCATCAAGCTGCAATGAAAATAAACTTTTCGATTTGAAACTAAAGAGAAAAGAAATGAAGAATTAAAGATGTGGACGGGTATTTTTTGTGTGTAGTTCGTTAAATATATGAAAACGCCATTACCAAAGTGTGTCAGAAAGATAACAATACATGTAGACAAGATGAAAAAACGAGGTAACGTCCACTTCCCACTAAAGATTTTCGGCTATTCATAATATAATATAATGTGACTATAAGGAAAATATAAGTAGGAAATGAAGTGATGACTGGATTAGAAGTTTAAGCGGCAAAATTTATGAAATAAAATACAATATAAGTTGACAATTTTGTATGTGAATTTGGAAATCATGAAATTCGATATATTAAGTTGTGAAATTAAATTCATAAAAAAAATAAAAAAAGATATATTCATCTTGTGTGGTTGAATAGATTTTCTATTTGTTATTTATTTTATTTTGGTGTTTAATCATGGTAGAATATTTGTGTGGTGGATGAAAGATTTTGAAGATAAAGCATTTAAAATGCCGTGGAACGCGGGACCAACCGGCCACCCTAACACCTACTTGAATGTCCAAATTAAACTATTTGTATTGTTATCTTCATATTTTTCTGCATATAAAAGATTGTCTTTTCAACCCACAAAATGTGTACCTATGAGACATTTTTCAAACTCTCATTGGTGAAAGAATTTGAAGGTTGGCAAGTTTCGTGTCCATCTGTGATACAGGTTTGATATTATTGATAATACCTAATTCCAGTAAGGGGGGAAAAAAATCAGAAAATATTATTAATTACTAGTACGTCACCCGTGCGATGCACGGGATATAAAATTTGGAAGAATAATATAATCTCATGTGCATTAGGATCGAAATTGAAATCATTAAAATACATAGGAACATTGTTGAATCATAAAAAGTTCGGTAGCAATCATAAATTATTAAAAACCTTCTTGTACACAACATTATGAGTTTGATTATTTGGTAACTCCTCATTATCACAAACTAATATTTTCAACCCTCTTCTATTATTTACATGCGAAGCAGCAACATATAATTGGCCGTGACTAAAAACGGGTTTCTTCAGGAAAAGACCAACGTGCGATAAAAAAAGAGTTTTTAAAAATTGAAAAGTCAAGGCAATCAGTTCAAATTAATTAAAGGTCAAAGAATATCCGCTCCTTGAAATAAAGACGTGTGCTATCATTAACCAAATATCCGGTTATTGATATAGAGTGGTTACCAAAAAATAGAACGCGATAAGGACGCTTCATGGAAATATCAATTGGATAAGGTCATAACAGATCGCTATACATTTTCACGATAAAAGCTCATATGGAATGATTTAATTAGATGTGTGAAAAGGACATAATTAATGAGAAGTGTGGAAAGGACATAATTAATGAGAAGTGTGAAAATGACAAAAACTTACCTGTTTTGGAAAATAATTAATGCAAATCCGACATTGACTATAATTTGACTTACTATTTTGGATAAATGTTAATTCTTATTATATAAGTATAGATTAGGTAGTGTTTAACTATTAAGAATAAAAATGTTTACTTGACAACATATATAGATGGGGCAGCACTAGAGATGTTAAAGAAATGAGCTGCTAGTGAACTAGAATTATCTTGTTAATATTGAGTTTGACTCATATTGTTTACTTAACGAGTTGAGTTCGAGTTATCAATGAGGTCGTTTAAAACTTATGTAATCAATGAGTCCAGCTCGTTAGGCTTGAGAATATGGGTTAGCACTTAATTTTCTTAACACTTAGCATAACTCGACTCATTAAAGGCATAAGTTGGGGATGCAGTTAATATTGGCAAACAAGCCAGCAACTTGACCTTATTTAACTAAGAGTTCGGTTCGATAAAGCTTGAACCCAAACTCGTGTATCAAAAGCTCAAGCTCGAGTTTACAGCCCTAGGTAGCCAATAACATTGACTAATGAGATAATATCTTCTTTATTTAATTTGGAAATAATTAACCAATATATATATATATCTTGGGTGCTATCTACACAGGACCATGTCTGCACGTTTATTGGTAAATCATTATAAGTCCCCAAAGGAACTATGGTCCTAGAAAAGCAAGTGTTTGGAAAAAAAAAATAATAATAACAATAAATTGTCTGTCTTTTTGTTTACACGCAAATTAAATCTTCTTTATTCAGACATTTTGCAAGTGTTTTACTTTCAATATGTATATAATACCTCATTATGAGGAACTTAAAACAATTAAATGCATGAAGTCTGCTGATACACAGGACAAAAAAGTGAAAAATATGTCACTGTTCACGGGTGAGTGTATTATGTATATATATATTTGTTTGTGTAATGGTTTTGAATATTTTTGTATTTTTCTGGAATTAATATAATTACTGTAAATATAACTCTGTTATTTTTTGTTGAGAAACCTTAGAAAGAGTTAGAGAGAGAGAGAGGGGAAAGGGAAAGGATGACGTGAGAGGGGAGAGAGAGAGAGAGAGCAATTGATTGTAACAACTTACTCATTTCCTTCTCATGTGGGGTAAATATAGTTTGTTATAAGTTCACTACTGATTTCTCAACATGCCCCTTTTAGAAAACCTAAACATAATAAAATGAAATGGATTATAATTAACCGATAATGCTAAAAATGCAAAAAGCCCAGAACATTAACCCAATCCTGAATAAAAGCCCAACATCTGAACCCAAATAAACATAACCTCTATAACCCACTTTAATTATCAAAATTCCCTTTTTCCTATTCCACTTCAAACACAATCGTAACCCTAGTTCCCAAATGCCTCGTCTTCTCCATCGTCTCCGATCAACAGCTCTGCTTCAACCTTGCCCGAGACCACCTTTTTCTCAGCCAAGTTCTCATCTTTTTCCCTTTTTTCTTCCTTTTCACCTTGATTTTTCACTTTATCGGCAAGATCGATACTTGGGTTCATGACAATACCCCCCACCGAGATCGGACCTTGTCCCCAAGGGCCGAGGTCTTAAAACTTACAGCGGAGGTGACTTTCATCCTCCCAGGTAGGTCTAATATGGTCGGTAGGAGACCACTTGACCAACACTTGAGGAACCGCAATGCCTTTCCACTGCACCACTCGTGAATCTAGAACCCCCAAAGGATAGACTTTGAAGTGCCCTTCACTATCGGTTTCCGGTAAGTCGCTTGAAGGTGAGTGAGTTGGTTTTAGGACTTTTTTGAGTAGGGAGGCATGAAACACAGGGTGAATTTTAGAACCTTCAGGAAGATCCAGCTTATAGGCCACATTACCAATCTTCTCAAGAACAGTTAGGGACCATAATACTTAGCAGATAATTTGATGTTCTTTCGGAGATAAACTGAATTCTGTTTGAATGGTTGCAACTTGAGATAAACTTGATCACCCACTTCAAAATGCCTTTCTTGTCTGTGTTGGTCTACATACACCTTCCTCCTATTATGTGCTTGCATCAGGTTATCTCTGATTTTGTGCATCATTTCTTGTCTTTGTATAGCAACTTCTTTTTCCTAGTTGTCTAGGAAGGGACCCAGAGCAAAATTAGGAGGTTGGTACCCATAAAGGGCCTGAAAAGGAGTCATTTTCAAGCTAGAGTGATAATTAGTGTTGTACCAATACTCAGCCAAACTTAGTCATTTGCCTCATTTCTTAGGGTTCTCATGCACCATGCACCTAAGATAGGTTTCCAAGCACTGGTTGACTCTTTCGGTTTGACCATCAGTTTGTGGGTGGTAGGTTGAAGTCATTTCTAGCTTAACACCCAAGAGCTTAAAAAACTCTTTCCATAAATTGCTGATAAAAATCTTGTCCCTGTCTGTAACCATACTAACAGGATGACCATGCAACTTATATATTGTGTTCATGAATGGGTCAGCAACTGTTTGGGCAGTAAATGGGTGGGATAGAGGAAGAAAATGGGCATACTTAGTGAGTCTGTCTACAATGACCATGATAACATCTTTTCCATTTGATTTGGGTAGACCCTCAATAAAATCCATAGATATGTGTGTCCAAGCCTGTGTGGGTATAGGTAGGGGTTGTAATAGTCCAGGATAGCTCCCATTGTCTGCTTTACTCTTTTTGCAAACTTCACACTGACCTACCCACTCCTTCACATCTTTCTTCATCAATGGCCAAAAGAAACTCCTTTTCATCCTCATGAGAGTCCCTTGAATCCCAGAATGTCCCTCGTAGGATGAACCATGCATAGCTTTGAGGATTTCCTGCTTGAGTGTGCCCACTGAACCCACCACTACTCTCCCTTGAAACCTGAGTGGATCTCCTTGGATACTGAAGTTAGGATAAGTGTCTGGTTGTACACTGATAGCTTGTATGATTTTCTGGGAGAAAATTGCAATTTTAGTCCAGTAACTTAGGCTGTTTCTCACTTTAATCCAGTAACTTGGACCGATCCAAAATTGGTCCAAAAACTTCTAAAATGTAGTTAAATTAGTCCAATTCCGGTCCTCGTCGCCGGAATCCGATCGGAATGTGCTGAGTTGGCAATTCGGATTCTGGCAACGGGAATCAGAATTGGACTAATTAACTACATTTTGGAAGTTTTTGAACCAATTTTGGATCGGCCCAAGTTACTGGACTAAAGTGGAAAACAGCCTAAGTTACTGGACTAAAATTGCAAATTTCTCATTTTCTGGCAAAAAGGATCATTGTCATAGGTGCTAGCAATCTTTTGTACCCATAATGGAGTGATGGTTGA